CACTGCCAGAGGGGCTCCTGGGTGTCACACAGAAGTTTCCCCAAGAGGGGAGTGAGGGGCTTTGGTGACAAGCACTGCCCAGGCTGTGACAGCTCAGAGCAGGCCTGGGTCACGTGGAACCTGGGTGAGGATGGATGACTAGGCCATGATTAAGGGACTGGAGCATCTCTCTTAATGAGCAGACTGGGAGATGGGCCTCGTTAGTCTGGAGAAGACTGAGAGGAAATCTTGTTATTGCACATCAGTATCTGCAAGGCAGGAGCCAGGATGGTGCCAGACTCTTTTCAGTGGTGCCCAGGGAGAGGATGGGGAGCAAAACCATAAACTAGAACACACCACATTCTATCTCAACACAAAGAAGTTCTTCCTAGGGAGGGTGGCAGAGCACCCAGGGTGAGCATGGCACCTCCCTCTCTGAAGAATCCCACATCTGTATGTCCAAGGCAGGTGCCAGGATGGTGCCAGACTCTTTTCAGTGGTGCCCAGGGAGAGGATGGGGAGCAAAACCATAAACTAAAACACACCATGCTCTACCTCAATACAAAGAAGAAGTTCTTCCCAGGGAGGGTGGCAGAGCACTGGCACAGCTGCCCAGGGCAAGCATGGCACCTCCCTCTCTGAAGAATCCCACATCAGTATCTCCAAGGCAGGTGCCACTCTTTTGAGTGGTGCCCAGTGAGAGAATGGGGAGCAATGGCCATAAACTAAAACACATCATGCTCTATCTCAACACAAAGAAGTTCTTCCCAGGGAGGGTGACGGGCACGGCACCTCCCTCTCTGAAGAATCCCACACCAGTATATCCAAGGCAGGTGCCAGGATGGTGCCAGACTCTTTTCAGTGGTGCCCAGTGAGAGGATGGGAAGCAAAACCACAAACTAAAACACACCACATTGTATCTCAGCACAAGGGAGAAGTTCTTCCCAGGGACGGTGGCAGAGCACCCAGGGCGAGCATGGCACCTCCCTCTCTGAAGAATCCCACATCTGTATGTCCAAGAAAGGTGCCAGACACTTTTCAGCAGTGCCCAGTGAGAGGATGGGGAGCAATGGCCATAAACTAAAACACACCATGTTCTACCTCAACAAAAAAAGTTCTTCCCAGGGAGAGTGGCAGAGCACTGGCACAGCTGCCCAGGGCGAGCATGGCACCTCCCTGTCTGAGGAATCCCACATCAGTATTTCCAAGAAAGGTGCCAGACACCTTTCAGTGGTGCCCAGTGACAGGATGGCAAGCAAAACCACAAACACACCACATTCTACCCCAGCACAAGGAAGAAGTTCTTCCCAGGGAGGGTGGCAGAGCACCCAGGGCGAGCATGGCACCTCCCTGTCTGAAGAATCCCACATCAGTATATCCAATGCAGGTGCCAGGATAGTGCCAGACTCTTTTCAGTGGTGCCCAGTGACAGGATGAGAAGCAAAACCACAAACACACCACATTCTACCCCAGCACAAGGGAGAAGTTCTTCCCAGGGCAGGGGGCGGGCACGGCCCCTCCCTGCGTGACACACCCCAAAGCCACCCGGACGTGCCCCTGCCAGGCCCACCCCCGTGACTCCGGGCAGGAGGGCAGTGCCAGCCCCGCTCACCTCCGGGATCGGACGTGGTAGCTGTCCTCCCGCCGGTGCCGCCGGTCCCGCTCGCTGCTGCTGGAGCGGGACCGCGTCCGCCGCCGCTTGTGCTTGCGGCTCCGGTAGCGCTCGTGGTAACTGCCGCGGCTGCTGCGCTCCGACGAGCGGTACCTTCGGGAGTGCGGCATCTGCGGGGACAGCGGGGAGCGTCAGGGACAGCGGGGACCCCAGGGGACAGCAGGGAGCCGTGGGGACAGCGGGGAGCCCGTGGGGACAGCGGGGAGCGTCAGGGACAGCGGGGACCCCTGGGGACAGCGGGGAGCCCTGGGGACAGCGGGGAGCCGTGGGGACAGCGGGGACCCCGTGGGGACAGCGGGGACTGTCAGGGACCCATGAGAACAGCGGAGACCCTGTGAGGACAGCAGGACTGTCAGGCACCTGTGGGGACAGCAGGGACCCTGCGGGGACAGCAGGGACCCTGTGAAACTCCCATGGGGTCAGCAGGGACCCTGTGAGACACCCATGGGACAGCAGGGATCATCAGGGACAGTGGGGATCACCTGGGGACAGCAGGGACCCCATGGGGACTGTGGGCACCGTCAGGGACCTGTGGGGACTGTCAGGGACCCCGTGGGGACAGCAGAGACTGTCAGGCACCCTATAGGGACAGTGGTGACCCTGTGAAACTCCCATGGGGTCAGCAGGGACCCTGTGAGACACCCATTGGGACAGAGAAGCACCCGTGGGGACAGCAGGGACCCCATGGAGACAGTGGGGACTGTCAGGCACCCGTGGGGACAGCAGGGACCCCGTGGGGACAGCAGGGACAGTGAGGCACCCTGTGAAGTCCCCACAGGGACAGCGGGGACCCTATGAGGCAGCTGTGGGGACAGCAGGGACTCTGTGGCACCCATGGGGATGGCAGGGCAGCACTCCCAGCTGCAAGGGACAGGAACCCAGCATGTGTGAGCGTGCCAGGGGATCTGAGAGAGGGGACAGCAACCTCGGAGAGCCCCACAGGACAGGGTGACACCCCCATGGCCATCCTGCCCCGTGCTCTTTCCCAGAAAGAGACCCCTGGATCTCCTTGCCAGGCTGACATCCCTTCCTCACACCCATCTCCACTGTCCACAGCTCCAGAACAGCTTTTGCACCTCCTCTCTTTAAGCTGCCCAGGAAGGAGGGAAGCAGCACCAAGGAAGGTGAAATGAAGCCCTGGAGATCAGCAGAATCCCTGGGCAATGTCAGAAATGGATTTATAGAAAAGCCTCAAAGCCTGACAAGTTACAGAAGGTGGCTTTGCAAATAGGAGTAGACACTTTGGAGAAACAGAACTATGAAAGATGCATTGTAGTGGCACCCACGAGAGGTAATTTAAAACTATCTGCTCTAAAGTATTTACAGCATGGTGTGGCTAAAGCTAAAAATTATTATAATGTATTGTAATTAAGAAATAATTAATTCTTGATTGTGATGCATGAATTATAACATCTGTATTGTCTCACCCTTCACAGGAAGCTGAGAATAGAATAAAAGTTTTTAAAACACCTCTCAGCTGCCCCATCCCTGGGTCAGAAAAAGGCATAATCCAGCAATGGATGATCAAGAGCAGCTCCTCAAGAGATGCCTCAGGGTCACTGCCAAGGGACATCTGCACTGGGGCACAAGGGTGGGGAAGGGTCTGGGGGCGTTTGGGCTGTTCAGCTGGGACTGAGGGGAGATCTCGGGGGGCTGCAGCTTCCCCAGGAGGGACAGCTCTGGTCTGTGCTCTGTGTGACAGTGACAGCACCCAGGGAACGGCTGGAGCTGTGTCAGCAAGGGTTAGGGTGGCTGTCAGGGAAAGGTTCTTCCCCAGAGGGCATGGGCACAGCCCCAAGGGTGCCAGGGCTCCAGGAGGGGTTGGACAATGCTCCCAGGAGTGCCCAGGCTGGGGATTTTGGGGTGTCCTGGGGAAGGACATCAGGACAGCCTGTGGACCCCTCCCAACTCAGGAGATTGGTGACACACATCCCTCTGTCCATGGAGGAGCACCCAGGAGCAAACCCTGCCCTCCCAAAGAGCACCAAGAGAACCCTGCAGAGCTCAAGAGAGTCCTGCAGACCTTCTCAACAGAGCCCCTCTGGGGGAACACGAGGGGCTAGAGCCAAGGGGATCCCAAGGACACGAACAGACCCCCAGCCCTGCCCCTCTGGAGGGGCTGGAGCCAAGGGGATCCCAGGTGAGGCGGCTCAGGGGGTGCAGCCCCTCCGACCCTGCCGGGCCGTGCTCCACAGCTCTCAAACGCTCCCCAGGCGGGTTGTGGTTCCACGCACGAACCATGGAACCATGGAATGTTAACTGGGAGGGACCTTCCAGCTGACTCAGCCCCACCCCCTGCCATGTGCAGGGCCACCTTCCCCTGGCCCAGGCTGCTCCCGGACCCGTCCAGCCCGGCTTTAAGCACCTCGGCCCGGGGCAGCCGCGGCTCCTCGGGGCGGTCTGTGCCAGGGCCGCGAGAAGCCGGAGCTCCGCTGTCCCCGCGGCAATCTCCCCCATCCAAAATGCCCCCGGCTGCGTCCCCGTCCCCGCCCAGCGCTGACATCACCGCCAGGGCTCGGACAGGCCGAACCGGCCCGGCTGCGGGGTGAGCCGGGCCGCGGGCCCGGTACGGCGGCTCTGCCCGGGGCTGCCCCCGAGCCCGCGGACCGGAGGCAGCGCGAAGGCGGCGCTGGCGGCACGCCAAGGCCGGGCTCCGCGGAGCGAGCGCAGGGGCCGCGCTCCGCAGCG